AAAGTGCTACGGGGACCTCCCAGACGAGATCTGGGTGGTCAAAGTTTGAGTTCTGGCTCGTAAGCGCTGCTGATCGATGCCTCGGCAGTGCCACCGTGGCCTCGTGGTAATGGTCTCGCTTTCAAGTCAAACGCATGCGGGTTTGCATCCGGTTGGCGCGAAAATTTTTGCTTCGCTCCGTATAAGAGCTTCAACTCTAATTTTCGAAATTCTTCCGAATTTACGGCCCAGCAGGGCAAGTAGATCAAGTACATCAAGTATACGACGTACTCGATCTAGTATGGATTTGGTCATATCTGCCCTCTCTGAACATATTACCCATCCGACAATTCAAAGTTTTAGCGAGAAATTCGTTCATGGGAGATTTCGACCCCCTGAACACGAATATCACATCCTTCGACGAAAAAACGCTCGTCTGGCCAAATTGCGATTCTGGGCAAAACTTTGAATTGTCGGATGGGTAATATGTTCAGAGAGGGCAGACCAAATCCATACTAGATCGAGTACGTCGTATACTTGATGTACTTGATCTACTTGCCCTGCTGGGCCGTAAATTCGGAAGAATTTCGAAAATTAGAGTTGAAGCTCTTATACGGAGCGAAGCAAAAATTTTCGCGCCAACCGGATGCAAACCCGCATGCGTTTGACTTGAAAGCGAGACCATTACCACGAGGCCACGGTGGCACTGCCGAAGCATCGATCAGCAGCGCTTACGAGCCAGAACTCAAACTTTGACCACCCAGATCTCGTCTGGGAGGTCCCCGTAGCACTTTTAATCTGCATATTCGTAATCAGCATTCGAGGCTCTATCGATGTACCTAGGTCTCCATTCAAAGTTCCATGGGAAGTTCAAACCATTCCCTTGTAGAGTTCATAACACATGATCCAATGTTCCGCTGTCCTCATTTTTTACCTTTGACATGTGGCAGTTTTAGATGTAGTTTACTGAACGATGTTCTGACTTTTTTTTGAGTTTGTTGGACGAGAAGTTGAACACGAGATACCACAAATCTTTACACAGCCAGTGTTCTAATAGAAAAACTACATTAAAGTCAAATGTCAATGTGAAAAAGAGGAGCTAACAATCAGGTAGAATAGAGAAGCAATGAAGAAAGGATTGAATACTGGAAGAAAGAACATAAAGGGAAGCTGAGGTTTGGTACAAATGGAGCGCGCTTAGACTTGTCGCGCTTCAACGCATGTTGATTGTCGCGCTTCAATTTCCGCTGTCGTTTGTAATAGTAGCGTGTTCAATTACAAGCGACAGCGACAATTGAAGCGCGACAATCAAAGTGCGTTGAAGCGCGACAAGTCTGAACGCTGCCTTCCCAGCTTTAGTCCCGCTCTGTCACCGGCTCTGCTATCAGTGTTGTACGTCGCCACTCCCATCCGAGGTGTTTCAGCCGCGAAATTGTTTGGTAATCGCTGAAATTCTGTTTTGGGTTCGCTTGGCACAGCACCGTGAACTGCTTCAGGTAGAAGCAGTTCACGGTGCAGCAATCCTGTGGAACCTACAGTTGATTCCTAGCACTGAACACATGGCAGAGGCAAATGCGAATCAGATCTTAACTCGCGCAAGCTTTGCATTTCCTAGGTCGCCTCTATACCTTGCGCCACACCGCGCAATTCGGGAATCCGCCAATAAGGTGAAATACGTATCGATTGACCCGTGGAAAATCCGAGATCAGTCGTTTTGTATCTGATCCTTTTCGTGGATCCTCTTATTCTCTAATTGCGCAAGGAACGCGACCTTGATATGTACCCCTAGTTTAGGTAGTGCATTCCTCTATAGTCAGGTTAAGTGTTCAAATGCTGATCATAGTTTTAGGTCTCATTTGAGTGTAATATTAGATCGTGAGATCAAGAAGCTGCAAATGGGGCCGTGTTCATGCACAGCACCGTTGAAGAGTCGGGGAATACGCTGAAAAGACTGTATATACCCTTAATCCCTGAGATGCGGTAGGCGTGGCTTCGTCTTCAACTGATCGGCGGGTGTGCTTTTGGTGAGATATTATCATTTCGACACAATCGTGGTAATGTTCTGTCCAAAACTGAGCAAGGTGATAGTTGTCTCAAAATGAAATATTACATCATTAACCCGTTTTGTGCCTTGTTCAAATGCCACGCCTTGTCCGCCCCATGGATAAGAGGTGTACTGTAGTTCGCTGCGGATGAAGATTCGTGTCAGGGAGCATGAGTGTGCCACGGCGCCAAGCCGCTTTTCCAGCCGTTAAAGCGGGTGTGCGACAATAATTGGTAGAAAACGAGTGATATAACGACAATAAACAATCTTGTTTTCAAGAAATGTGGGGAGAGGGGGACACACCCCTTCGACCGCAGTGAACCAGCCTATACTTGTTGGATTCAAAGAATCGCGGAATTGCGGGAATCGGGGAACAGAAGAATCCGCGAACTATATTAGATTGATATCAGTCCTTTCGCTTCTTCCTGCTCTTCATTTAGCGGATCCTCCTGATCCCGGAGTCAGAAAAATCGAAGAATGATAGGATTCCGAGAACCCCTAAGAGGATTCGAAATCGAGTCGATTGTCAACACCTCTCAAGAGAGGTACTAATCCATCCTGTACTTTCCTGCGGCGGAATAGGTCATAGTATGACCAAGACCTAAACAGGATGTGCTCAGCAGCGTCAGGTTCATATGCGAAAATAGAAAAGTTATATTTGAGGAAACATTCTCGATTTTTTTATAGGACCAGCTGAGGATACATCTGATGTGCGCCATGCTTTGCTGTCCTAAACAAATTGACGACGACGGAAGCATCCGAGCGGACATGGTCAATAGAAATGCAGAGTGAGCTTTGGACTGTTTTGTTTCTTCCTTTGAAGCTACCAGTACGAAATATAAATTATAGAGAGATTACTGGACGTTACATGGATCTGTATACTATTGGAAGAAAGGCCACTCAGGAAGATGACAATGAATTCAAAAAGATCACCAAAAATTTGGTTAGTTCATTGTAGTTTCTCCCGATTTGGGGGAAATCACATCTCTAGTTTTTCATTGTTCATTGTTCCCAGTAAATTGTTGCATGAATGCCGAGTTATGGGCAAAGGTCAGATCTCAGACGGGACTGAACCCGCATCTTACGCCTACCGAGCGATTGCGTTATTTCCTTTTACCCGCTCACCTCAATAACTTTCTGTGCCATAGTCTTACAGCTCTTAATAAGGGTGACGAATTCTATCTTTGGAGGCGGCCATTCCAGTTGACTGCTGGAAATATTACCTCACAGTTCTTCTTGTTTGACAGTGTGATGACAGCTCACCTCTCTCTCTTATACGGCCTATAATGCATGCAACTTGCAAAATAGGCTAAAAGAGCTCAAAGAAAATTTGGATGGGTGTACGTGCAAGTAGTAACCGGTTTGAGAGACATTACTAGCCATTTCCACAGGTGTCTTATTGGGAAGCCGGAGGTGATGTGGTGGCAGTTGAAACGCGCGCTTACCACGCGCACGGTCCGGGATCAAATACTGGATCAGGTTCCGTTCAGGCAAACCAAGCTCTGTCTCTCTCTCTCTCTCTCTCTCTCTCTCTCTCTCTCTCTCCTCTCTCTCGCTTTTTTTTCTCTCTCTCTCTCCTCTCCCGGAGACGGCAAATCGGTAGCAGATTCGTCTGGGAGGATAGAAATATTGACTTTTAACGAACACCGCGATTGTCAAATTTTCAAATGGATGTAGAATGCGTACCGCATCCCTTATCATCAGCGATGACATTCTTTCTCCTTATCCCTATAGAGGTGTTTATGGTTCTTACCCCAACCAAATACTTGCTTCGGGATGAATCATCTGCCGATTTTCTTGACGAGTTAAATTACGACTCGAGAACGTTGCGAAGTTTTTTTTTTAAACTAAGAAGGGAGTCTATTTGTCGACGCTAACAGTTTGGCTGTGGGATCCAGTGATAAGAGACTTCCACTTACGCAATTGTCACGCGGTGCGAGCTTCATCTTTTTCGCTTGGCGAAGAGTGAATCATATTAAAGTCGAAATTGCACTATTTCATAGAGGTGCATTTCGAATTAAGGGGGGGGGGAGGGGAAGCATCAAACGACTCTTACCTAAGCCTGTACAAACCACTTTGTGGAAACATGCCATTTCTTATGACCAGGGCGGCTCACACGCAATATTTCGCACATTCAGAGGTGTTCACAGGTCTGAGCAAAGTAACACCTGTCAATTAGCATAAACTATCGAAAAAAGTTAGCGAAAATGCGAATGCCCCTTCCACGCCAGAAAGCTCAACTCATGTGGCACTGCTACACCATGACTTCCATCTGGTTGTAGCCTTCGCTATGGTCCTTGACGTTCGGATTTAAACGAAGTTGGTGTTCGCGCTGTTAAAAAATCTCAGAGCGTTAGGCAGCATTCAGATTCGCGATGAGGTGCGGCAACGCGCGTAACGCGTCGACGCGAATGCAGCCGCAGATGACCAGCGCTGATGGATTCCCGTTTGTGAACGCTCGGTCGATGCGCGCTGGCTGCTTGTTTGGAGAGAGTATGGGGGAATACGATGGTAGGTGTTGCCTAGTCACGCAGACTGATATCGATCGGGACTGGCCGTCTGCGGCTGCGTTCGCGGTTTAGCGTTGTTGTAATTGTAGCGCGTTGCAGCGCATTACAGCATGTCACAGTGCGCTAACGCGCGTCATCGCGAATTCTGCGCACTGCCTTATGTATGTGGTATCCGTGGCAGTTTCCTGATCTGGTATTATACACCCTGAACTCACCAGCACTGCGGATGGAAAAGTTGCAGCACCTGGGGAATTACTTCGATCCCTTTTTACCCTGAGAGTTTTCAGGAAAGGCTTTTCCAACATCCTATGTTTTCGAAGATTGTGACCATGGATGGTCAGGCAAGGTTTCACGCAGTACCTCCTCAGTCGATACAGAATTTGTATGATAGAATTTTGCGAGGCGGTAAAGCTCTAAGAATTCGGTAAGTCCTTTGAAAAGTCTGTCATTGCGGTTGCCGATGCGTTGTTGCAATGTGTTCCTGTGCGAAGCAAGTTTTACAATCTTCACATATTGTTATGACAGATTTTCAGAGAGGGACAAGTGGAATCAAGAAAATTGAGGGAAGCCAATACGCCTGAGGCTGTCTACACATCTAAAGTGGTTGGTTTTGTGTTTACAAAGGATATTGCAGGAACAGAGATACTCATTTCTAGGCGTGTAATTTTCTAATGGAACTCATCGAGAAGGAACGTCAACACAGAGGCCTCCGCATGGTAAATTTCACTGTATTCCCATTGCTTGTTTCCGTTTGTTGCCTCTGCGCTATTAGGTTGCTTCATATTTCGCGTCAGCGCTGGGGTAGCTTTTTTAGTCGCTGTCGCCGGTATACATTCGAAACGCTGCCGAGCGCCTACGCAAAGTATGAACGCAGCCTTTTCTAGATGCTGCCACGCAGCTCATCTAACCGCGACCCGGCGAAGCTTTGTCTGAGGGCTTGGAATGAGCTCCGACGCTATCTACCTCGTTTCTCACCTGAACCGACCACTATTGATACTATTGGTGGACAAAGCAGTCGCGGGTGGAATGAATCACGTCTTCTCAATGCCGCGCAGATGGCCACCTGTGGCGGTGGGACGGCCTTCGAATTCCTCTGCCAGCTCACGGATGCTACGCCGGGGATCCTCGTTAACCAAGTCGAGAAGCCGCTCCTCACCCTCTGCAACTAGGCTTCCAGCCGCGGTTAGGTCAAAATCCCGTTTTCGACTTTGCGGAGCCAAACCTTTGCTGTGTTGTAGGATACAATAGGAAGCAATAGGACCTGCTCACCCTCGAAATTTACTTTCTCTGCCTGGTGTAACACATTACATATATTGACAATTGTGGAATGTGTAGGCCATCGGTCGGCCTAAATGTAGTTCATAACATCGTAGCAGTGTACGGGGCAGGATGAACCCACCTCTACTGCTTAGCTCTGCTTTACCGGCGCTGATTGACCATTGGTCTATTTAGACTAGACTGATCGGTGATACCAACTGTATATGATGTCGAGAGAAGGTTCCTGATCAATTTTCACGAATTTGGCGAAATGCCAAACCTAGTGATGGGAAACTCCTGAGCTAGGTAATATACGTTTCGAGCAGGCAGCCTCATTGTTAAATGAAGGAGCGTAAAAAAGCAAGACCGACATGAAAGATTGTCGTATTTCAAAATCGTCAAAATTAGCTCTAGCTCTAATTTTGGGTATCAATAAGTAACCGGTTAAGGTTGAGTGGCAGGCAGTCCAGAAACGATATGCCGAAATGGTTACCAATCCCGAAAGTGAAGATCGAGAACTCATGGATTTCTACCAGAATAACTACGGCATGGACTTCAGTATGCCCTCCTTGAATAGTGAAGTAAGCACAGTTTTCCGACATTTGTAAAGATCGTCAAATGTGAGGTGGTAATAGTCGGATTTGATTGAGTAATTGAGTTGTTTATATTTATAGACACAACGTTGCCGTTGCCGTGACTAATTTCTGGAACGAGTTCTCTCAAAAACAACCAAGCTTTCCATTTCCCTTGAACCGCTGTTCAGTACCGCATTTGTTTGGTGGACTAAACTACACTGGCTCAAAGGCACATGGTACGCTCACACACAGTTTGGGTGGATGTGACTATCACCACCCCCCCCCCAGCTATCGAAGCGTAGCGGTTTCCACCGTCCTGACGTGCGCAGGAATG